ATTATATTATAATATAATTATCACAGTTAGAATTGTTAAAAACTACAAGAAGGTAATAACATCAGAGTTCCAAACAGCATCCAAAAGTAAATCTATTTTACTAAAAGTATTCCTCAAAGTTTCAATTTATTAAGAGAGCCATGTTGGCACATCTGGGGAAACCCGAATCTGAAAGCTTCCTGGTTTCCCCCACCTGGTTGAAAGTTCAAGATCTTGCCCCCACACCCACAAGTCCATCCCATGGTCCAATCTCCCACTGCCACACTGGCAGCTTCCACCCATCCAGTTCCGGTCAGGTGCAGAGGTGCAAAGACAAAGGATGACCTTGGCTTTCTACAAAGAATTTTGTTATGGCCATATATCATCTAATCCCCCCCCCGTCATTTTCCCACGATAGAAAATGCATCGTAGAATAATAGAAAGTGTGGCAGGCCACAGACCCAAAAGAAAAGATGGCTGCAGGCCTGACACCATGTTTATACTTAATATCTGTTATCTCGTGCATGTTTGACAAACGAAATAAATAAAATAAATAAATAAAATTTTGCCCCTGTGCTTCTCTTCCCCCACCCCTCAACCAACCCCCCCCTCCAGACAAATTTTTGGCCCCAACCACTTTGCAGCCCTGGAATGAATAATGCTGCGCTGTGCATGATTTGGAAATTGCACATTTGCAGGCTGACTTCCGTAGTGCTGAGCTGGCCCCACACGGATAGGGAGGAAGCTGAGGTCGGTCCTGCTGCCGTTTGGAGTCTACTTATCTTACCATCGGCTGAATGTGGCCGACAACTTCCGCTTCTTGCTTCCTCCTTAACGGCAGGAGTCCTGCAATTGGAAGAGCTGTTGCTAAAGCTTCAACTGCAGGAAGGGGCGGGTTGCAGAGGGCAGCTTAAGTTGCAACGGCTTTTAAAATCAGAGAAAAGTGGGACAATACAGTCCAAGTCCCAAAGGTGCTTTTTTTTTCAGGAGGCCAGTGGACTTCCTTATTTTTTTTTCTTTTGAAGACGTTTCGCTTCTCATCCAAGAAGCTTCTTCAACTCTGACTGGTGTGTGGGGGATGGAAGGATTGATATTCCTTGCAGACATCTGGTCATTTGCCTCCTTTTAGAGGGTCATTGTAGCACTTGGAGGTTTATCTGTGTCCTGTTAACTGTTGCATTTTCTGCCAGTGGCAAAAAAAAAATATTAATGAAACTCCCCCTGGCTGTAAAATTGACTTGAAAAGCAGGAGAGACAGTGAAGCCAAAGGCATTTTTCGGGTTTCTACAGAAATCGGACAATGGCCGGACTTTGCCGTCTGCTGGACGCCAGAACGGCGTCTGTGAATTTCATCTCACAATAGTGGCGACACTCCAGGCCACAAAAGGAGGAGAGCGAGACCGATTGGCTGCCGAGCCTCTTGGGGACGGCCTGAGGGCCACGAGGAGGAGGAGGAGGATTTCATGGGCTTGATGAATGTCAGCATAATTTAATTGCATGTCCACAGAAGAGTTGCTTCCAATTAATTTGGACGGCTTTCTTTCTGCTGCTCTCCCTCCAAATGGTGCCATTAAGATTCAAGAGAGGCCTGGGTAGCAAATCTCCCTTTGCAGATTGTACACATGATTCTCCGCACACATAACGTGGCCTTTGTTGATGTGGAAAGGGTCTTTTTTTTTGGTGGAAGAACGCAACAACGGAGAGCTGGCTCCCCACTCTAAAAGACGTCCATTCATCAAACGGATGAATGCTCAAGACTGATCTTGAAATGTTTCTCTTGTTAGAGAAGGGAAAACAAAGGGAATATTGTCTGTCTTCACATATCTACATTGTGTGTGTGTGTGTTCCACAAATTCATGTCTATATTTGAAGAGGTGTTGGAGGAAGTTTGTATATAGTGGTGGGTTGCTCTTACTGTCACTACCAGTATGCTGATCACGCGCTCACGTGTTCTGTTTGTGCGCCTGACTTGCGCTGCGCATGTGTGCGCAATCTACTGCCCTGCGACAATCAGCTGCTTGTTGGTTGTCTAGCCACTGCAGCCACCGTACCAGTACGCTCTCAACTGCTCCTGGCCACTACCGGCCATACCTGCAGCAACCCCCCCCCCTCTGGTTGTATGAGGAAGTCGATAATCCTAATTTATTAAGTTATATTGCTAGTCCTCGATTCCTGACCAGGATTGAGTCCAAATTCCCATCGCTTAAGCAGACGTAGTTGTTAAGTGAGTTTCGCCCCATTTTCCAACCTTGGTTGTTAAGTGAACTGCTGCAGTTGTGAAGTGAGTAAAATGGGGATTAAGTGAATCCGGCTTTCTCACTGACTTTGTTTGTCGGAAGGTCCCAAAAGAGGAAGTGCAGCATGCGGTCGTTAAGCACACCCGCCTTCCCCCGTTGCCTTTGCCTGTCCGAAGCCAGCTGGGAAGGTCACAACAGACCCTGTGCGGCCACTTCCGTCATAAGTACATGTCAGTTGCCAAGCCTCTGAATTGGGATCACATGACCACAGGGAGGGGCCACAAGGATCGTTCGTGTGAAAAACCACCATACGTCACTTTTTCAGGGCTGTGTCACTTTTGAGTGGTCCCTAAATTAGAGGTGGGTCCTCCCAGTTTGGTCCGGTTCAACCGAACCATTAGTGGAATTCAGGCCTGGGCCGCAGAACCGGCAGTGAGCCAGACCTGCCCTGCCCCCAAACCGGTTCCCTCGCCACCACTGGGCCGCCACCATTTTGGATTTCAGGGACTGCCCAGGCGCAGGCGTTGTAAATAGTTCTAGCACGGAGAACAATTTACATTGAATGGCACGTGTGGGTTGCGAACCGGTAGTAAAAGCAGCAGCCACCCACCCCTGCACTAAATGAATGGTTGTAAGTCAAGCCCTACCTGTTCTAACCCAGCTACCCGAACACAACAAACTCTTTGTGGTTAAATCAATGGTTCCGTTATTAGGAGCGCCAGCAACCCCGGCAAAAAGTTTCTCTCTCACACAGGCTAAGAAGTCCGTCCGGCAGGGAGGTGAAAAGTTGTCTGCCACATCTATTCATCTCTGCCCCCTGCCTTTGAATCCCAGAGCTAGGGTGGGGCTTCACTAGCAGCGGTGGCTCTTCTGTCCCAAGGACCATCCCAAAGATTTCCACTGCTCTCCTCTCCTCTGCCTTCTGTGCATCTGTGCGTCAGGCACTGGACACAGCTGTTCCTCCTTTTCCTCCTCAGCCACCTCCAGACCTGGGGGCTGTTGACTCTCCATCTGAGGGCTGACGGGTGGCCCAGGCTCCACCTCTGCGTCTCTCTCTGCCAGCTCCTTTCCCTCTTCCCCCTCGGAGCTCTCAGGTTGTCTTGATTCTGACCCGGACTCTCATGCCCCCCCTCCTCTGATTTGGCTGCTGGAGGGGCCGGTAGCCAACAAGCCACAACACTACCTGTATGTGTCTGACTTGCAGCAACTGGGAGTGTTGTAGAGTGCCCCCTCCCCATTTTACAGGCATTGCTCACACCTAGGAAAGGGGTGGGACGTGCATCCCAAGGTGGGGTGGGAAGCCAACATGGTTTTGTCACTTTGAGGAACGCCTCCAGTCCTTTGGATGCCTCTGATGTTTGCATGCTTTTAAGGGGTCTTTGCAACTCTACATTTCAGAGGATAACGAGTTCAAAGATCAATTAGAAGAGACGCCCCAACTCATGCGGACACGGAGCGACGTGGGTGTGCGCCGCAGAGGGAACCTTCGCACCCCCAGTGACCAGCGGCGGATCAAGCGCCACCGCTTCTCCATCAATGGGCATTTCTACAATCACAAAGTGAGCCTCACGGGGGGCTAGCAGGGGGATGGATGGGGTGGATGGGAGTCTTTTTGGCAAACCAAGGAAGAAGATCTATAAAAAAGATGTGGAAACTCTAGAAAGAATGCAGAGAAGAGCAACCAAGATGATTAGGGGGCTGGAGTCTAAAACACAAGAACCGTTGCTGAAATTGGGTAAGTCTACTCTGATGAAAAGAAGGACCAGGGGAGACATGATAGCAGTGTCCCAATATCTAAAGGGCTGCCTCAAAGAAGAGGGAGTCAAACTATTCTCCAAAGCACCTCAGGGCAGGACAAGAAACAATGGGTGGAAACTAATCAAGGAGAGAAGCAACCTAGTTGATCCTATTGTGGGAACTCCGTCTTTTAATCTGTCAGGTTTCCAAATAGCATCCAAAAGTAAATCAGAGTCCGAGGCAAAGTATTGCTCAAAGTTCCAATTTATTAAGAGAGCCCTGTTGGCACATCTGGGAAAACCTGAATCTGAAAGCTTCCCGGTTTTTCCACTCAGTTGAAAGTTCACAAACTTGACCCACATCCACCATCCCATCTCATGGTCCAACCTTCCACTGCTATGCTGGCAGTTCCACCCATTCAGTTCCGGTTAGGTGCAGAGGTGCAGAACCAAAGGATGACCTTGGCTTTCCAGATAGAATTTTGTTATGGCTATATATCATCTAACTCCGTATAATCCCTTCTTCCATTTTCCCACAATAGAAAACGCATAGTAGAATAATAGAAAGTGTGGCAGGCCAAAGATGCAAAGGAAAAAATGGCTGCCCAGTAACCTTGTCCTCACTCCCATCCTGCATGGCCTGTAACAGCTTCCTTCTGACAAAAGTCTCAGCCTGGTTCTTCCTGTGATCCATGCTCTCTCCTTCTGCTTCCTCCCTCAGACGTCCGTGTTCACCCCAGCCTACGGCTCTGTCACCAATGTTCGGATCAACAGCACCATGACTACACCACAAGTGCTGAAGCTGCTACTCAACAAGTTTAAGGCATGTTTTGTTCTGATTCTGGGCTGCAGCTGAGCCTGCTGCCCTGCCGACACCCTCTCCTCCTGCTGCCACCCTCTCCAGAATGCGAAGCTGGGCTGCAATGGTGGCAGCTTCAGGAGACGCTGGCTGGTGGGGAGGGGGCGGGCGAGACTAGTGTGAATGCTGCTTACCTGTGTGTAGGAAGGAGGAGGCAGTTGTGTGGATGCATGTGGTGAAAGAGAGGTAGGGCGAGCGTCAGAGAGAGCCGGTTCGGGGGGCATGGCCAGCCAGCTATCATACCAGTTCAGCAACCCACGCTCAATTATCACTACTGGTTCTCCTGAACTGGTTTGAACAGGAACAACTCACCTCTGGGCAGATTTCATGCTTACAGTATCAACATCAACTCTTCTCTTCTTCTCAATGATTCCCTCCCTTACTCTACACACCAAGCAAATCCCGTTTTTAAAGCTTCCTTCCAGGGGCATTTGGAGGACTACAGCCCCTGCTTGATCAGGGGCGCAGGGGTCTCTTCGCCTCCTCTGATACCCATAACATTCCTTCAAACTGGCATCTGGTCTCCTGGCTTTGCCAGGGAGCAGAATAGGGAGTGGGATTTTCTACAGCATAATGAAAGCAACTCAACATCGCAGACTTTTCATAACCCAAACGAGGTAACATCAGTGTAGCACTGATTATGTAACCTAGTTTGGTTCATGAAATGTCTACAAGAAAACAACCAAGCTTAGAGAACACTAAGGAGGCCGCAGTTCTCCTCCTCCTCCTCCCTTCGTCGAGTAATGAAACATCTGCAAGAAAACAACCAAGCTCAGAGAACACCAAGGACCCTTTATTGCAATCCAGAGCTATAAATATTCTCCTTTTATCAATACCTAATATTTCTTCCTCCTCCTCCTTTTCCCATAACAACTACTCTGTCTTGACCAAGGCGGGATTAGAACTCAGAGTCTTCTGGTAATTGGCACAAGGTCACTTAACCAGGTGCTGTGCCCAAAATGGGACTAGAACCTTTTGGGTTTCTAGTTTGCTCCCTTAACTACTAGACCAGACTGTCTCAACTGAAGTCAGGATATAAGGCAATGATGATCTGGACTCCACCTTGGCTTGTTTGGAACAAGAAGCCTTTGGGGAGATGGATCAGGGCTGCGTGCGCAGAGAACCAATGCTCTTTTTTTTCTCCTGCTTTCAGATTGAAAACTCAGCGGAAGAATTTGCTTTGTACATTGTACACACCAGTGGAGGTGAGAAGGATGTTGTGGTGTCTCGCAGTGGTTCTTTGCAAGCTTTTTTTTGGGCCCATGGTCCTCTCTTGGGCCTCTCTTGAGCAGGTGGATAAAGTCAGAATAAAGACATTTGTAGGGAGACTCAGTGGCTAAGATGCTGAGCTTGTCGATCAGAAAGGTCAGCAGTTTGGCGGTTCGAATCCCTAGCACTGCATGACGGAGTGACTCCCGTGACTTGTCCCAGCTTCTGCCAACCTAGCAGTTTGAAAACACGTAAAAATGCAAGTAGAAAAATAGGAACCACCTTTGGTGGGAAGGGAACAGCGTTCTGTGCGCTTTCGGTGTTGAGTCATGCTGGCCACATGACCACGGAGATGTCTTCGGACAGCGCTGGCTCTTTGGCTTTGACTCTAGGGGGCTCTTTCCCCCCTAGAGTCGGGAACGACTAGCACACATGTGCAAGGGAAATCTCTAGCAAGGTGGATGAACTTAAACACAATGTAATTTTGGAAGACCTGAAGGACTAGATTGGGGATAGATCATTCCAGAGAAGGTCCACCTAGGAGGTCACTAGGAATTGACACCAGCTTGGAGCCCACAATCCTTCTCGCTGTAGAAAGACTTTGGATGCTTCCAGGTGCTGTTTTCATGCATCCTGTGTAAACTGGGAGAAGTTTCTGGATTTGTGTCTTAGAGGAGGCCATTTTCTTTCTCTTATTGGCAAGCATGAGTTGTTCATGAGGTCCCCACCCTTCTCCTTGTTCTCTATTTCCTGCAGAGAAGCAGAAGCTGAAGGGCACAGATTACCCACTGATTGCCCGCATTCTGCAGGGGCCGTGTGAACAGGTCTCCAAGGTCTTTTTGATGGAGAAGGACCAGGTGGAAGAAGTCACCTATGACGTGAGTGGTTGTGTGATGGGAATCCATCCTTCGCTTATCACATAAAGGTGCTTCCACAGTGTCCAACTTCTTTGGAGGAGAAACATGCTAGGCCAGTGATGCCGAAACTTTTCAGCACTGAATGCCCAAACCAGAACGTACATTCATGTGTGCATGCTCAAGCGCCAAAAACCTGAAGGCCAACTGGCCAGCGTGCATGCAGCTTTAGGTTCTGGCACATGCATGTGTGCCAGCCAGCTGGTCTTCATGTGCCCACAGAGAAGGCTCTGCATGGCAACTCTGGCATGTGTGCCATAGGTTCGCCATCCCGCTGCTAGGCCCACCATTAAAACTTCTGCCGGGCTCTCTTTCCAAAATCCCCGTGTCTTCAGGAGGTAGCTCTTCACTTATTTGTGTCATTATTTCTCATGATTTATATTAATAATCGACTTGCTTATAGTTATTGAGAGCTATTTTGAGTACTTGCTGGTACATTTATTTCAGGAGTCGCATATTCTTATTTTCCGTTTTTTCCCCCAGGCCCACAAAACCTACTCATTCAAACCTTAAAGAGATGGGTGTTTAATCTACTCCAGAGGTGGAATTCAGCAGGTTCTGACAGGTTCTGGAGAACCAGTAGTGGAAATTTTGAGTTTGAGTAGAAAAGGCAGATACCGCCTCTGGCTGGCCCCACCAGCATCTATTCTCTGCCTCCTGAGTCCCAGCTGATGGGGAGGGAATGGGGATTTTGCAGTATCCGTCCCCTGCCATGCCTACCAAGCCACTCCCCCGGAACTGGTAGTAAAAAACAAATTGAATTCTACCACATATCCACTCCATTAGTTTGTTGTAGGAGAAGAGTGGAGACACGATGCTGTGTCTGACCTTTTCGGTGGAAATGTGAGACATGACGGTCCAGTTTACATGTGCTTTTTTCCCTCAAGTGCGGAGGGACACAAGTGCTTCAGATAAATAGCACCGAAGAATTAAAAAGGGCCTCCATTTCCCCATTATTAGCCTTATTTTGTTGCTGTGGCACCTAAATGGCTCAGAGAGCGGTGTTTCGCAAGCTTGCAGGCTGGGGGATTCTGGGAGTTGAAGTCCACCCATCTTAACGATGCCAGGGTTGAGAAATTCTGGAACACAGAGCCAGGAGAGCAGTTCTCTGCTTCGATTCAAAAATAGCGGACTGTCCCTGCTAGTGAGTGGTGTGGTGATCTAGAGGTGGAGCTCTCGCCTCACAATCAGGAGGCTATGAGTTCGATCCTGGGTAGAGGCAGATATTTCTCTCTCTGGGCACAATGAGAATATATCTGCCGAACCAAACTCCGCACTGGTGACAGGAAGGCATCTGACCAGTAAGCACTCAGCTAGCTCCATTCGGTTGCCCAGACTCCACCCCAGAAGGGATTATGGGGTTGTTAAAAGAGGATGATGACTCTGTATGTGGCTATGGATCAGTGACGTGTGGTGAGGTTTATGGCTGGTGAGGCACTGACACAGTGGTGGGTTTCAAATTTTTTTAGACTTGTGGACTTCAACTCCCAGAATTCCACAGCCAGGCATGCTCAGTTACAATTTAAAGTGACAGCATTTGTTTTTCTCCTTTGCGAAAAAGTTCTCCATCATTCCTTTTCTTCTCCCTCCCCCTCCTTCCTCCCTCTCTCCCTCCCTCCCCCCTCTCTCAAACAGACACACGCACAAAGAGAAGTTGGATTGGACTATCTCTCCTACCCCCTTCCCTCACTCACTCTCTCTCAAACCAACACAAATACAGAAGTTGGATTGAATATATTTTCCAATGGCTTGAAAGCAGCTCCTCTGCCATACCCCTCCCCCATTCCCTTCCACCATTGCAAATGCAGCCTGCTGTCTAGGTGGAAAATGCCTGAAACGCAATAAAGCCCACCCACCCAACCCACCCACTCACCTCCTGCTTGCAGGCTGGGGTGAGAAAAGAGGCAGAGAAGCTGGAAGGGAGTCGATCCGAGCCTTTGATTGCAGGCGGAGCCGCGTTGCCTTTTCAAACTTGTAATCAGTGAAGCTGGGCTTATAGTTTTATCCAGGTGTGTGTGTGTGTGTGTGTGTGTGTGTGTGTGTGTGTTTGAAAAGGCAACATGGCTCTGCCTGCAATCAAACTACACTTGGGGAGGGATCTACACTTGAGGATGAAGTTTGAATTCCTCCCCTTCCCTCTGACCCACACGTACCTTTTCCAGCTGTTTCAGAGAGGATTTGCTCTTGCCTGTTATCATGAAAAGAAAAGAAAATGTAAAAGGAAAAAGGCAAGAGCTGAGGTCAGGCTGAGCTAGTTGCTGCCAGAGTCACCATGGATGACTCTGCTTAACTGTTTAAAAAAGCCTCTAAAAAAGCACCCTCTACAGGAGGAGGCAGGAGAACGACATGCCTCACCTACGTCAGGAATTTTTCGGCTTTTAACCCTTGCTTAACTCTGCTCGAGTGATCATAAAAAGCCTAAAGTCAGACTAGTGGTGAGGCTCTGCCTCCCCTGCCTCCCCTGACTGCACGTCCCTGGTATGGATGTGGGTCGCAGCCCTCAATTATTTTGGAGTCAACTGTTTGAGCAGCTATAAAAGCCCACAGTGAGATTGATGCAGTGGCCTAGAGGTCGAGCTCTCACCTCACAATCAAGAGGCTTGTGAGTTCGATCCTGGGTAGAGCCAGATATTTCTCTCTCTGGGCACATATGGGAATATATCTTCTGAACAAAACTCTGTATTGGCGACAGGGAAGGGCATCCAGCCAGTAAAACACTCAGCTCCATTCAGTTACCCAGACTCCACACTGCAAGGGATTATGGGGTCTTTAAAAGAGGGTGTTCCCAAACCATATTCATACTTTGTGTGTCTTTGCAGGTTGCTCAATATATTAAATTTGAAATGCCTGTTCTAAAGAGCTTTATCCAAAAACTTGAAGAGGAGGAAGACCGGGAAGTGAAAAAACTAAAGCACAAGTAAGTTCTTTCCTTCCGGGAACCAGCAACAGCAAAGGAAGTTTCTAGTCATCTTCTCATCTATAGATTATAGGTAGTCCTCAATTTACAACTGTTGGGTGACCGTTTTCCACACTTAAAACCGTAACAGAATCTCCATGGTCACACCAACATTCAGATGCTGGCCAACTAACTCGTCATTATGACAGTCGCAGAGTCCCAACGTCATGCAATCCCCTTTTGTGAACCTGACAAGCAAAGTCAGCGGGGAGGCCAACTTCACTTAACAACCACAGTGAGTCACTTAATACCTGCAGCAAGGTCATAAAATGGGAGCAAAACAACTGTCTCGCTTAGCAACATAAATGTTGGGCTCAGTTGTAGCTGTAAGTCAAGGACTACCAGTAGAAAGTCTGGATGACGAGATGCCACTTTTGTAGATGGAACCTTCTGGAGATGCTTCCATGTGTGATGCAGGAAATGCCAAACTCTCTTGCAAGACGACTCAAAAGTGAGTCTCAGTGAGTTTGTGGGACCTTCTGCCAAAATATTTCACCTAAAATCCCAGGCTTCCTTCCTCCTCCTCCTCCTCTTCTTCTTCAGTTTCAAAGTTTTTTTTATTTTTAATACAACTTTATACATATTATAGAAACAAAGTGTTGACTGGCTCTTCCCTTTTTCATCCTCTCATTTACATAATCCATTTGACATCATAGCTTGGGTTTCACTTTCAGCCAAATTATTTTCTTCCATTATTTTCCATTTTTTTTAAATATTCATTTTTTCTTTTTCTTTTTAATAATTTTTTTTTCAAAACAAACACAACACAAAGAATCCTCCTTTTTTGCATACTGTAGAAAGTATCGTTTGGTTACAAAATACTTTTGTGCATCTCTTCCACAGTCATCAACCATAATTCATATTAACTCAAGTATTTTAATTCAGATATATTTATACATATTACCATCATCATACCTCCATTTTCATTTGACTACAATTGTTTAACCATCCATCATAAAATATATCAAGATTTAAAACATAACCACATACTGGCATTTCATTTGCTATTTCTAATAATCTCTAATAACACAATCCTTATGGCCTATTCTAGCTAAACATCCATAATATCTA